CTTAGGTCTAGTTTAGAAAAAAAATTCTGGTTGGGTGGCCCCCATCTCAGGGTCATCTTTCTTGATTTCTTTTCCCACTCGCCTTTCTTTCCAATGCCCATTGACCACTGAGGTTTGTGGTCCTGTGTCTCCACCACCTCTTCTCCTGAGGAATCTGACCTCTCAGATCCCGACATCTGGCAGGGTTTCATTCGGGGCAGTGGCTCCCTTTCTGGGGAGTTTTCTCCCTTTCTTGCTCCGTCGTCTGACATGGTATTTTTTGCAAAGTCCCCCGGCAAGGTTCTCCCTTCCAGGTGGACTAGTTCTGAAGGTCCTATCTAATGTAAGGACCCACCCCATTTTGTATCTTAAGAAGACAGAACTCTTGGAATAATTCTTCCAACAGGCACCCTTTATTAAGAGAAAATGGTTGCAGGCATTCTAGACAGGACCTGGGGCCCAAGCCCTACAGTTCAAGGTTTTAAGAGATCCCCAGCAGCCCCACCCCACCCCACCATCTTTCCAGCAACAATCCCAGGCGTTACATTTCTACCCCGTTTCCCTCACTGCCGGTGGAAGGGAAACTTCAGAAAGGATTAGATGAAGCTAATGGCCTCATTGTTATGTTTAGTCCTTTTGGTGGTATCTACATCCAGTCTCTTTGAAGTGTACTGAAAGAAGTGAGGGCCATAAAGCCCCTTTGTTCACCTCGCTTCCCTTCATTGTATGACAGAATCCAGAGAGGGCAGAAATGGGGTTTTCCATAGTTGATAACTAGAGATGAAATATAATTGAATTCTGACAATATGTTTGTGTGTTTGTGCATTTATGCACGTGTACAAGTCTTCATTACATAATTCTTAGTTGTGATTGCTTATATGGAAGAGTTTCATGCAGAGGTCAAACAAGCCAAAATATATAAGTGTTAGAATACAGTCCCTTTCTTATCTAACAGAAGTCTGTACTACTGTATACCAAAATTATATACCATACCATACCACACCACACCACACCACACCACACCACACCACACCACACCACACCACACCATACCATACCATACCATACCATACCATACCATACCATACCATACCAAATACACTATAGAAATATAGTAAAAGTCACATTACATTAAGGACAACTAAGAAGTTATTTGGAGGGGTATTTTGGTATCCTAAAGAACATAGAAAGGGTTAATTTACTGTATCTTAAATTGAAATAGTGTACAATTGTTTCATCAAATTTCTCCCCAAAAGCAACTTAACAGAAAAGTGAGAGCTGGCCTGCTTCTTTTCCTGGTGAATTGATGCAAGTCAAATTGGGTATGTTCATTTCTCCTTCTGCCCTATCCACCTATTAATCTACTATGGGAATTGTTGCTTTGATTGTGTTCTTACCTGATGTAAGAGTCAAATCTGATTTAAAGAGAATATGTATAAGAAAAGATAAGAAAAGCTCATCTTGCTAAATCATACTAACAACATTTGTCAGAGTCATGGAGTCTGAGCAGGTTTAATTCTGCATATGGAAAGACTATGTTCTAAGTTCTAAGTCTTCATCTGTTTATACCTCACTCTTAAGTTGTCCCAGTAAGTATGAGCAGCAGAAGACATAACCACAATGTCTTCCCTGGGAGCCTTACCTAACTGTAGCTTAGTACTAGATTCAATGTAAATAGCACAAAAGGCTTACTTTTTTTAAAAAAAAGGGGTTATTAGGTGAGTAAAGAAGATACTTCATACACACACACACACGAGAGAGAGAGAGAGAGAGAGAGAGAGAGAGAGAGAGAGAGAGAGAGAGAGAGAGAGAGAGAGAGAGAGAGAGAGTAAAATACAAGTAAAGAGATTTAAGAGGTGTAAAAATGCCATGAAAGTTATAGCTTTCCAATATATGATTACCGTAGTTAGTACACTGGTTGTAAATAATTGAATATGTTATACTGCTTTAAATAACTAAAGATCAATATTATTTCTATGTTAAAAATGAATATCAAGAACCATGGTCAATACAGAATCATCAAAGAAAATTGTAAAATATAATAATTTTAAATCATATTACTAAAAATCTGTTCTGATTTAGATATTCTGTAAAATTGAAAGATATCTTTATACATAGCGAATTGCAGATGTAATGCAAATGTATGAAGGATTGAGAGTCGAATTCTATGTCAAATTTGCTTTTGAGGTATTACGTTAATCTGGACATCAAAGCAAAACTTGGCTAGCCATACATAGAAGTGTTCAAATGGCCTTTCCAGTAAAAAAAGCATAAAAAACCCCCTCCTTGCAGTAGTTAGCATATTACAAACTGTCTCAGAATATATTGAAAATATAGTATATATGGCTTAGTAATGTTTATTTTACAGTAGATGTAATGTTTTTCTAGCATTGAAGTTACTATTGTTGCATTTCTATCACTGCATTCAAATTCTACATCCATTTAATCGTGGAATCAGTCATGTTTCTCCCCTACTTTTGCAATTTCATTAATATTATGATATTTATTTGAAATTACTGGAACTAATCATGTAGGCTGGATCATTACAAAATAAGAGTCTTAATCTTCATTTTATTAATAATTAAATCTTACAATCTGAACAAATTATTAACTCTCCACTGAGTGATTTTCTTAGAATTTCCTTTCCATAAAAGTAAATATTTAATAAAAAAAAGCAAGTGAGGAGAAAACTATTTTTTCTACATTTCTCCTGAACCTTACTTATTATTGCATGACCTCTTATAAATTGTTTGTTTTGCTCGCATCAGCTAGAGATATGTATGTAGTGTGAAAGTCCTGTCCCTTCCATAAACTTAGCTGGAAAATAAGAATCAACTCAGAAATTCATATTAAATAATTAACATTGTAACACAGTGTAAAGTTTGGAGAATACCACTTGGTCTTTTTAATCTAAAATCTTGATTTTAACCCTTGGTTTTTTATTGGATCATATGGCAAGTCACTTAATATCATTCAATATGTATTGAAGTAATCTGAGAAAGAAAATTAAGTGTTGGTAAAATATTCAATTCTTCCAAGACTAGTTTAATATTCTCCATCTGCAGATATCTATTGTTATACTTTTTAAATTAAATTTAAAATAATTTTTTGTCAAGTACATTCCTAAGTATTTAACCTTTTTTAAAGAAACATTGAATCCTTTCACTAGATGCAGGTACTGTATTGAATTTCTTCCTTTACAAATTCTATATCAGTATTTCAGTTTTTTATTGATTAATCCAATAACCTAACACAAAGCCACACTATTCCATTAATAGTACTAAGGAATCTTCAGGTTAAGAAAATGTTAAGTACAACATGGTCAGTGTGTAATTTCCATTTTACGTTGCTAATTTAACTCCTGGGATTTTAGTGAAGTGTGGTTATTGCCAATGGTTCTAGGGTCAGTAAAACTAAAGAAGGGGAAAGGGAGCAATCTAGGCTGGTCCTCTTCAGTATAGGACATTGTTGTGATAAAGAGCCATTTACAATTTCCTTTTCTTTTTATTCTTTATAAATAATCTGTACCACATGAAAAAAAGTAGTCCTGAAATCTTTCTCATAAAAGATCAATCTATGTTTTTTTAAACAAAGCTTTAAGAAAGATCATAGTCATGATTTATTTTAATGTTCTCAATAACATTCAAAATAATTTATGATGTTTATCATATATCTCTTTGGAACAACTCCAATCTGATTAGGATGTGTAATTTTGGTTAAAAATAATTTATTCTCTTTATGAGTATGTTATTCTAATTTATTATTGAAATATTTTAAAGAACATCAGATAATCTTGGTAGACACCAGTGAAAGGCATCTGCAGATACCCCATCCTAGAATTTTTTTTTAATGAATTGCCCTGAATGCCTTTTAATTTGGGGACTCAAAGAGTTTAGATTTCTAAAACCACAGCCTGTTTCTAACCAGCTTCTCTCTACATGATGTAATCTAAGAGGACTGGTTTCACTGAGCAAAATTATATTCAATTTTTAACTTGGCAAGACATCACTATGTAAATAATAGTAGTTTAAGTTGAGATATCAAAAATGGGGTGACCTAGAAGAAATGAATCCTAGATTGCATTCCAGCACAAAGAGTTGTTTAGCATGGTAAATCAGTTGCCCTTACGGATAAGACACCATTTTGTGAAGCATAATGCTCTCTGGCACCCTCTGTAATGGCAGACCTTAGAAACTGGTGGCCAAGATGATTCTGAGTACTATTGCAGAGTGCTCTGGATGTAACCAACCCCAGTTCTCTATGTCCTGTCAGCATCGAGTAGCAAGACGGAAGTGCCAAGGAAGAGACATTGATATTCATGCCTTTCCTACACAAAAACAAAGATTGCCCTTCCATTGTGAAAATGGTAGGGAAATTGTTGAGAGCAGCTATTGAGATCTGGAAGCACTTCATACCCTACCTTACTCTCCATCTAGCAACATCTATTTTGAGACTTCCCAGCAACAGAAAGACAGCCTTGGACGATGGCTGGAAGAGAAAATTTAGTACTAGATTTTTCTCATCTGAAAGGAAAATCTGTGGTGTGTGGGGACCAGAGGTTTAAAACTGAAGAGTTGTTTAATGGAGAGACTTTTTCAGTTGTTCCAAATATTCTTGGATATACTTTAGCATCTGTTTTCACTAGCTTGAGTGTTATAAGAGATTAGCCTTGTCTTCACAATGATTCACTCTTCACAAATTACTTCACAACCATCAAGGAAATTAAATAAAAAAAATAAGATAGTTTCTGAATAGCAGCCATATTAGAAGTATAGAAAAGCAGGATCTGTGTCATAGGAAGGTTTCTGTAGGTTTCTTCTTAACTCCTCTGTTTTAATATTGGTGAATAATCAAACACGACAAAGGTGACAGAAGTCTCCAGTATCCTCTTTTTTCTTAAAGGAAATTAAACCCTGTACTGCTCATGAACGTCTCCCTATTTAAGGAATGAGAAAATATATGATATGGAAAATAGGCTCTTGTCTTTCCTCTTTCTTTCTTTCTTCTTTCATGTTTCCCAGTTCATACCAGATCTGTACCTGGAAATAGAAACTCTGTTACAAACAGCAAAGTCAACCACCTGGAAGTATCTCTTGGTGCATCAGAGGCTCTGTCCTTCCCCATGAACTCCATAGGGTCCAGCAGTACAACAGGCTGTCCATTTAAGAAAATTGCGACCCCCGTTGCGTCCCATGCTGTTCCTTTGACTTCTCCACCAGACATGAGTTTTACTGTGCATATCAACCCACAGGTAGGCACCAACTCTAATCATTTTTGCTTAGTATAGTAAAATCAGCATTGTATTCATATTTCATATCACAACGTATTTGGTAACGTAATTTTAATTCCTGTGTGGAGTTCTTTCTATCTATGAGTTCTTTCCTTTTCTAAAATAAAGTTTTAGATGTTCTTTTTCTGCTCCCGATACAGAAAGCTTATATTTCTACAAATTACATCAATACAAAGTTATGCAGTCTGGAAATGAAGGATAGCAATAGCAGTTAAAGAAGCTTTATAGGTTTATACTGGTATACAGGTTCTGTCTCTTTCTTACCCACTATTTACGAACACTCTTAATTTTTAAAGGCATTTCTTTCACAGGTGTTGAACAACAAAAAATAACTAGGGATACAGATATTTTTCAGGATAGGGACCAATGGTTAAGATCACAAGGTGTGACACTCTCAATTATGCCAAATGGGTCTGTTTCCTGATGCGAACTGGCCATGGGGAACAATTTCTAGCTATACAGGTAGCCTTCAACTTATGACCACAATTGACCCCAAAATTTATGTTGCTAATCAAGGCAGTTCTTAAGTGAGTTATACCCCATTTTATGACTTTCTTTGCCTGCAATTGTTAAGTGAATCATGCAGTTGTTAAGCAAATCTGGCTTCCTCATTGACTTTGCTTGTCGAAAGCTGGCTGGGAAGGTTACAAATGGTGATCATATCACCCCGGAACACCGCAACTGTCATGCTAGTTGCCAAGTTCTTGCATTTTGATAATCTGACTAGTGGGGATGCTGCAATGTTTGTAAGTGTGAACACCAATCATAAATCACTTTTTTCAGTGCTATTGTAAGTTCAAACAATCACTAAATGAATGGTTGTAAGTCGAGGACTACCTGTATCAAATTTGAATACTTGAATACAACTAGAGAGGAAAAATTCAGGAATTGCGCCTGGTTCAGCATATACCACAGTTTGGTACTGAATATGAGGAGCTTGTGAATTCTTTATTATAACAGCTCATCTCTGAGTTGCTTTCTAGGTGGTTTTCTCAGCTGATTTACCTCCTTGTATATTTGACATATGAGGAATACACGGTTCTTAATTGTCCTGAAAAAGTAGATCAGAGCATGTATATACATTAAAAGAAAGATTTAGAGGTGGGAAGTAACTTAGAAGTGGGTAGAACAGATTTTTTTTAAAAAAAAAAAAACTTTAGGGGCAAAAAAAAGCACATACATCACAAAATTAAAACAAATATCAATGACACATGCACCCACTTGATATGGGAGAAAGCAAAGAGAGAGGAGGAGGAGGAGCAAATGCATGTTATTCTGACCCAAATTTGGAGCGTTATATTTCAAATCCAGTCAGATAGTTAACTCAAAAGAAACGATCTTATAATAAACAAATATATTTTAATGAGAAAGATTACTTGCGTTCACGTTGAGATTGGTGCTGCTGGAAATACATGTTTGTTCATCTTTCAGATCCTTTCCTTAGGTAAGAAGATTTTGCTCTTTATACCATCTTTTAGGGAGACCTTCCATGGCCCATGCTTCTTACAGACAAAGAGATTCCCATGTGGCTTGTGTCCAGGAAGTCTCCCAAAGACCTTTGGAACTCCTCCCACTGACCCATCCACATACCTAGCATTTAACCCAATAACTGCCAGACCTTCCAACATAGAGCTGGGCCATAGAGCTATATGGGCCATAGAGCTATATGGGCCAGAACACTCCCCGCTTGGAAATTTATATTTCCACTACTAAAATAGTAAAAACGTAGCATCAAGGCATGCAATACTCATTGTGGTTAACTTGTGACTAAATAGGTAAAAACTTGGTATCAAACATACATAACTATAAGGTAAACATAAAACATGCACAATTATGAAAAAGGCAAGTGTTACATCAAACAATGCATAAGACAATACATAATTTGAGGTTTAATCTTCTGATTCAGTCTTCATCAGCAATGGACCAAATCAGTGATCAGCCTGGTACAAGTGTCTTTGAGTCACAACCTGACTCATGTGGCTTCATGATCTGGATCTCAGCTGGGTAAACTAGTTCATCAAGTGGGTGGGCCCGGTGCGCAGGAACCATGGGCCAATAGTTCTGGTATGCAGTCTTGTCTCCCAATGAGACAAGGTCTTCTTCCTGTGAAGGAAACTGGAACCAAATCTGGAACAGAAAAAACTGGAACCCAAGCTTCTCTGGAATGAGGGGAACTGGATTCACAGGATACTCAGGAACTGAAAAACCTGAAAAGACATAAACAGCTGGATCTGGAAACTCAGGAACAGTTGGGGCTGAAGAATCAAGATCAGGAACATCAGGAAACTCAGGAACAGCTGGAAACTCAGGAACAGCCGGAGCTGAAGAATCAGGAACAGCAGCTGGGACTGAAGGGTCGGGAACAGCAGCTGGAAGTGAAGAATGAGGAACAACAGCTTGAGCAGTAGACTCAGGATACTCAAGAACCGAAGGGTCTGGAGCCACCGGTGGAGTACTGAAGAGGACTGCTACTGTTGTTATCAGGGTGAGGACTTCATGTGTGGGTGTCAGTGTATTTAATGACATGGAGTCCATGAAAGGCAGTAAGTCCTTGCAGGCTTCTACAAGGCTAATTCTTGGGGTGCTGAGACAAGTGATCAAGATGATCAAAACTATGCCTAACTTCAGTTGTCTGCGCTTAGACAGGGTCTTGAAGCGGATTGGTTGACGTTTGCCAGGTGTCTGAGGTTGAAGGCTGGCACTTTGATCTGAAGCTGGAAGTGCATAACATTTTGGTCTATGTGGCATCTGTCTATTTGGACAGGCCAAGAGCTGAAGACTTTCTAGCCAGATCAGTTCTGTTATCTGTGTGGCAAGGTTGGGCCACCTTACTTGGTTGACAAAGTTCTTATTTGTTGGCACATGTTGCCATTGTTCAGGGCTTAAGGATGTTTCAATCCTTTTCTCTCTGTTGCTTACATGGACATAGAAGTGTCCACTTTGTTTGCAGATGTAGCTTGACATCACCTTGCTGTCTGCGTAGAAGGTGGTGGACTGTAGTTCAAGGCACAACGTCTTTGCTGTCAAGTTGGTCAGCTTTACAGCCAAAGTGGTGCCATATAGCTGTAACCTTGGTACGGTGTGGCCTTCTTGTATTGTTAGTCTCGCTTTTCTTAAGAAGACACTGAGACTGCAGCATTCCCCGCTGTAGACTCTGATGCATCTTATGGTTGCAAACAAGATAACGTAAGTGTGGCTCTCCCCGCTGTATAGTGAGATGTATCTTAAGGCTGCAGACACCTTCATAGGCACATCTAAGGAAGCGTACAACTCTTTCTTCTGCATTGGGGCAGGTGAGCTGGAGACATACATGCGCTGCACTTGCATGCTTTGGAGACATTTTGGGAGTATGTTCCATGACTCCCAGTCTTGGGGGCGTTGTTTGTATTGTTTGTCCTTTATGGACAAAGCTAAATTGTAGTAAGTCTTGCTTGTCTGAAACACGGTTGCTTTCAAAACAGGTTTGGTTGTCACAAGCATGCAGTGTTGTAGGTGTGGTTTTATGGGGTTCAATGGGGTGATAACGGTGGAAAGATCTTGTGGCACTCCCCGCTGTGCAGTTGTTGCCGTTGCTGGGGTAATAATGGTGGCAAGATCTTGTGGCACTCCCCGCTGTGCAGTCGTTGCCATCAGGTTCTATGTGGCAGCAACGGCAGGAGGATCTCGTGTCCTAGGTGTCGTGACATCAACTCTGCAGTTGACCAGCGAATCAGGTCGTTGAGATTCCTCTGTTCGTCTACTTGGTCTTGGGGGGCTTGTGGCTGGCTGTGGTGCTCTCATCTGTGCATTCTGGAATGCGCTTTGGTTGTCCACATAGGCCTGTACATGGCTGTGAGAACTTTCCCTTCTTAGACTTTCCAAATTGGGCATTGACATGGCATCTTCTAACTCTCTCTGCAGGATTGCTTCTATTGCGGCTGCCTCTTTTGCTCTCTGTTGTCGCTGGAAAATCTCAAAGTTGGCCTGAGCTTTGGCCAAGTCTTCTCTATGTAGCTTGTCATCTACTGCTACTTGTGCAGCAACGTTAGCCATTGCGGTATTGATCCGTGCTTCCCTGAGACGGGCGGTGATGCTCTCTGCTCCTGAGGCTTGAGATGTATGGCTCTGGCGAGAAGATGCCTTTGAATGGCGTGAGGGTCCTGTGACGTGCGGTTGTTGGGACATGCTGGAATGTGTCTTGGATATGTGGCGAAAAGATGAGGCTGTTTCAGACACGTGGGATGGATCTGCGTGCGACCATTGGGATGGTGCATATGAGTAGCGGGAGACTTTGGACTCGGCCCTGTCGACCAGTCTGCTTTTCTGGCGAGGCTTGGGCTGTGGGGAACCCTGTGAGCTCTCTAGAAACTTCTTGCGTTCCTTGTTTAGTACCTTGAGGTTGTGCATCTTGCTATCGATTCTTGAGTCTCTTAATTGTTCCTGAATATCCTTTAGTTGCCGTTCAGAATCCATCCATTGCACATAGGCGTCTTCCTTATCTCCTTCTACTGCGTGTGCGCGTTCTGGGGAGAGTTTGTACAATCTCTCCCAGCCTCTTTCATGGCGCTTGTAGATTGACTCCCATCTTTCCATCAGATGTGAGTGCATGGCTGCAATGGGCTGGTTGGTGTATCTCAACTAGGCTGATAGGTTGAACCCTTTCTGCTAGACCAGTAGGACGCTCAGCTATGGCTAGGATAGGTTCAGTGTCCTTCTCAGCTATTTTGAAGAGAATTTGAAGAACTTCTCTCTTTGACCACTAGGGGTCGCTACTTGTAGATCAGCTTCTGAGGTGCTGTCTGTGGGTGGAGATGCCACTGGGTGCGTTTTCCTGTGTTTGTAGGTACTTCAGTGTAGTTCACCCTTTCACCACTAGGGGTCACTTGCTGTGGGTCAGCTACCAGTGTGCTCTGGCTTTGAGGTTCACCCTTTGTCCACTAGAGGGGCTTCTCTGTGTTCGGTTAAAGGCTTGCGTGTAGAGC